ACTCCATCAAGGTGTCAGGAGTAATGCCAAATCCCCCCCCCAAAAAAAATAGTTTGCCAAAGATTTTGGAAATAGCAGGGTTCTCTCTCCCTCTCTCTGTCTTTCAATTTTGGGACTACAAATTCCAGAATCCAGTGGCTCATGATCATGCTGATGGGGGATTCCAAGGGAGTTGGGTCATTGTCGTTCACAACAAGAGAATGCCCCCCCTCCGTGTGTTAAAAGAAACGTATGCAACTAACCTTACTTCTCCATAAACGTGGCCGCCTAGCTTTCAGCCACATGGCTAAGTAGCTTATTACTCGGATGGTTAGAGGAGGTTTCAAATCCTCCGACTTTCCCACACATCTCTTAATGACATTCATCCTCTCCACAATGGGCGTGTGCCTGACTAGGAAAAAAAATTAGCAATGGTCTTTGAGCTGCCATTGTGTTCAGTGGGAAAAACCCTCCGTCCAGAAGACCATCTGGAAAGCAGTTACGGAGAAAGCCAAGGTGGTTCCCCCCCCCTTCCTTAAAAAACAACACACACACACCAGCAACAACATCTGGCAGCTGCTTAGGAGGGAACAGACAATCCTGCCACCGTGGCTTTTGAGGCACTTCCCCCCCCTCCGAAAAAAATCACATTCAAAGACACCCACAACCACTCTGCCATTCCGTGCCATAGAGTCCTTTTCAACGTATAGCAACCCGTCTGGGCATGAATGACCTCCGAAAAGTCTTGCCATAACGTAGCAGCTCAGGTCTTGCAAAGTGAATGCCTTGGCAAGCTCTGCCTCCAGCAAACTGGGAGAACAGACCCCCAAATTGGTACCTTTTAAGCCTAGAAAATTGATTTCCCTGTGAGTTTTGGGGGGTTTACAATCTGCTTCTTCCTTTATATTTTAACAGGCATTAGCTTAGCGATTGATGCTTTGAACTAGCAAGAGACACGGCCGTACGTATTTGACGATCTTTCATGATGTTGCTTTGAGCTGCCTCCTTCTATTTATGGACCTCAAGATGATGTACATTGTTCTTCTTCAGTTCAGTTAATCTTCAGAGACAGAGAGACAGACAGAGAGAGAGAGATTGAATCACAGGTCCAATATTATCTAATGAATTATAACCGGGGTGATGAATATGGTTTCTGAAATCCAAGTATAATACTGTACTGCAATGACTTATTACCTTTTTGATATATTGATTGTAATTCCGTCATCCCCAGCCATGTGACCAATGGTAAAGCACAGTGGTTCCCAACCTTGAGTCCTCCAGATGTTCTTAGATGAAAGCTCCCAGAAGCCTTTGCCACGAGGTCTGCTGGCCAGGATTTCTGGGAGTTGAAGTCCAGGAACATCTGGATAACCCAAGGTTCAGTGACTTATTACCTTTTTGATATATTGAGTGTAATTCCGTCATCCCCAGCCATGTGACCAATGGTAAAGCACAGTGGTTCCCAACCTTGAGTCCTCCAGATGTTCTTAGATGAAAGCTCCCAGAAGCCTTTGCCACGAGGTCTGCTGGCCAGGATTTCTGGGAGTTGAAGTCCAGGAACATCTGGATAACCCAAGGTTATCCACTGCTTTAGAAAGACATCAGGGTGTTACTTCCATGAGCTTAAGCCCATGAGATTCATATAGGTAGAAAGTGTTTTATATGCTAAATCTTGGCTTTGTTGAAGGTGCCAACCAATGAATCAACCAAAAGAGCAAATCCACCTTTTATTTTTTTATTTCAGATGCAAGCTTCAAAATGCAGCCAGCTAATATTTCTTAAAGGAGGAATCGTTGTTAAGGGCTTCCGACTTACGGCAACCTTCTCGTAATACTTCTAAGCTTCACAAGATATTCCAGTTGACCCTTGCCGCCATGAACCCGGAGGAGATTCCAAAGCCGAGCGAAGATTTGAACCCAGGCCTCCTGGGTCCTAATCTGACACTCTAATGACTACACCACACTGCCTCTATAACTGCTAAACTAAGGACTTTTGAATAACTAAAAATAGGCAGTGAAAGTATTGAATGTTCAAAACAACCAATTATGATTGATTACATTTTAGTCAATTAGTATTTTCAATGTCTTAAGTTTGATGAGCGAGATTGATTACATTTTAGTCAACTAGTATTTTCAATCAATGTCTTAAGTTTGATGAGCGACGTCAGAACAGTTTTCTTGTCGCTGATTTTTTTTTTCTACACAGCCCTTCCCTTCCTACTTCTGTCTCTATGATGGTCAAGTTTTAATTGTAGGTTCCATGGGGCAGAGACCTCGTTAGTCTGCAGAGTGCCAAACCGAGTTGCGGTACTCAACTTTCTCTCTCTCTTACACCCACACTTCCAAAATCTATATTCAAAGGAGAGAGATATATATCTAGGACTACAAATTCCAGAATCCAGTGGCCAGTGATTGTGTGATTCAAACCATATTAAATCTGGCTATTGCTCCAGAACTAGGCTTTGTGGGGGGGGGGGGGNGGGGGAAATGGACGAGGGGAAGATATTTGGAAAGGGTCTGTTAAATATACAGTTGCACACGTGCGCCCGTGCAGGCGCTCTCTCTCTCTCTCTTTAAAGCCAGAATGCACGCCCTCGGCATGCTTTTCGGTTTTGGAAGAGGACGTGGGAGATGGGGCTGTATCGACTTTCCCACAACTTCACATAAAAGGCTTTGAGCGCAACAGCTGCCATTTCTGCACAAAAGGTGGCCCAGGCTTTTCACAAGACTGGAACAACTGGCCTGCGGGGTGGAGTCGGGCCAGAGGAAGGAGGGGGGAGAGAGAAGGGGGGAGAGAAAGAGGTGTCATCTTCTCCCTTACCTGATCTTGAAGGAGAAAGAAAAAAGAAAAAGGAAGAAAGAACAAAATTATAAAGTTGGGATTTTGACCCAGATCTGGGACAAATTCCTTGCTCAGCTGTGCAATTCTACATGGGACATCAATGGTTTCTCAAGCTGCTATTCCTTGCTAGAAAGCAAAATAAAAAATACACTTCCTTCCTTCCTTCCTTCCTTCCTTCCTTCCTTCCTTCCTTCCTTCCTTCCTTCCTTCCTTCCTTCCTTCCT